AAATTAAATAAAACGCTTAACCGTAGTACCTTGTCTGTCGTTTTTAATGAAACATGCATATATATATATATATATATATATATATATATATATATATATAGTTTAAGTTATTGTATATTTATATAGTTTTAAGTTATGGTATATTTATATAGTTTATTCTCTATATCAGTGATAGAGCGTATGTAAATATAAAAATAGACATTGAAGTCGAAAATATATTTCATGCTTAAAAGCAATCATCAGACTTGATATATATATATATATATATATATATATATATATATATATATATATATATATATATATATAATGGAAAACTACGTCAAATCAAATATCGACCCTGTTTTTTTTTTTTTACTTGAACGCAAAAGTCCATATCTGTTGTGTTTGGGCTATTTATATATGCTGGTCAGTCATTATGGGTAGCAAGGTCTATAGTCTTATGTTTACTGTCATTGGTTGGGTGGTAACAGTTATGTTTCAAATTATACTGGAGGCTACTGAGAAGAAACAATTGTGTATCCTAATGCAGTTAATTGTAGGTATTTTTATAGTCTTGTTTATTATTTTTTACTCATTATTTAATTATAACTTAATTATTTTTCTCGATTATTATAATCACATTTACTCATGTTCATGTGTGTGCATTTGTAGATTGGTAATTTTTTAAATTTAATTTGTTTTAATTTTAATTTCTTTATTTCTTTATGTTTTTTTTTGCTTATACAGCCTTGTGCAAATTAATTGAAACAACAGCTCTAGTTTCCTTTCTTTTGCCATACGATCAAATTTAGATCAACTGGAGTGACAGGATGTAATTGATGTCTATTTTTTCACAGATTAAGTTATTTGCATTGGTGTGCAGTAATATGAATCTATTTTAGTGTGTATGATCAAATTTGTTTGGCCTTGAAAAATATTGCGTCATCCGTGATTGCTTCAGATTTTTATCACGCCCAGACACTATTGTCTCGACTGTCCATTAGTTGTCCTGCGATGGACTTTACACCAAGGAAGCGTACGTAAATTGTAACGCTGCACGAACACAATGGAAAACATTACCGGTGATCAAATCAAAGTACTATCGACTGGCTCGGAAACTCTCCTGATTTAAATCCAGTCGAGAATCTGTGGTCAATCTGCAAGGAACGACTTGGTGGAATGGACATACGAAGTACAAATATGTGCACTGGTCTGTGTTTCATTCCGAAAATATGAAAGAAAAGTAAATAAAAACAGAATTATGCGTTTTGTTTCAATTAATTTGCACAAGAGTGTATTTTTCGGGTTGGTTGTCTTATAGTTTAAAGTATTCGCTTTGCCCAAAGCCTGTTACATTATCTTCGTTGTATTTAGTGTATATATTTGCATCTTACAAGGTGTTCTTTTTTAGTTTTCGATTTTTACGTAATGTCGTAAAAATTTGTTTTTGTGTCAGCATTTTAAGAAAAAGTTCGGATCATTTATTCAACAGTTTATTTTAACCTGTGAAGGTGATTATATCTAGTTTCACCTCCGGACAAAGTTTATAGTTTTTTGGATTTATTTTTGTAGCTTGTAATTCTACAACAATAAATCCAAAAATTTCGTTCGTCTTTAAAGGCCGGCTACTAGTGCCACGTGTGCGACCAAAGAAATAAGATAAAAAGAAGTAAAGGGAACGAAAGAAAACCAAACTAAGTTTTATAGTAAACAAAAAAAAGTGTTATAATTTTAGTGATTATTGTGATTAGTGATTATTGTCATTGTCTAAAAAAGTAAAAAAAAAAGCATATCGACAAGAAGTTAGGAATACTTAAAACATTGCTCTGACGCAGATTTCTACAACAACTGACTTTGCCAGCCAAGTTAATTAATTTTGACGTCAACTCATGGATACGAATACACGGACGAAGGCCCTCCACTTGTCAGGTCATCCGATCACATCTGAAAGTCCTTTAAAGTTTTTATGCAAATGACCGAGAACTAAGAGAATTTTCATTCATAAAAATAGATTCTTTTAACACTAGTTGTTTTCGAGGACACCCCTCCCCCAGGACCGCTAACCACACACCCTGTTCCAGAATCTTACTCTGTTGTTAACACTGCAACTATTCTGAGCATAACTTAGTTACCGTTTCAGGGGGAGAGGAAGATACAAACAGAAACGCCACTTACAAGTATAGCACCGAATTCTTAAACTTTTGAGTTTTAAAATGTTTGAATTTTCGGCGTCCGATGTGTCGAGACGCTCAGCCTAGCTGATTTCATTCGATTTTTCAAACCTTTAGTCTCTTTACCATTGCGATAAAAGGAAAACTGTCAAGAAAAGAGAAATTCTGTAGGAACCTGGACACAGATATACCATGGATGTTTTAGAAATCAGGGCACTTTCTATATTCATCCATGCACAAAATTATGGGATAACTCGATATTTCTGTGCACGCTTACTCGAAAGAAATTTAGCACAAAGCCGATTTTAAGGTCACAGATCCACGCATAAATGGGACCAGGGACAAAAATTGCTTAAACTCCCTCTTTGGTGACCAAGGATTAACCGTAGCTCCCCACACCCAACGTAGAAATGGTACTGAGGCAAGAGGACCGCCCCTTGGCACTTGAGCACTTAATATATTTTTATTGAATTCACATCAAAACATAAATCTTATATATTCCATTTATTAATATTTTGAATCAATTTCAATGAATTTCCTGACTTTGAGGCAAAAGACATTCAGTTATACGGATTCCCAAAAAACAAATATGGACGACACATTAAATACCTTTTTGTAAATATTTGTTATCAGCACTTGCATAATTTTGTTTTTATTGTCGATTGTACTGAGTGTATTTGCAATCTTGTTGTTTCAAATAAGAGCCTTTTTTTAATGTGACTAATCATTTTTGTAAACGTATAATTGTGTATAATATACCCCTCCTAATTTATCTGTAATTTTCCTTCAGAATGTCTTGTATTATACACAAGAAAATATTAAATTTGTAATGTACTAAAAAATCGAAATAAGTCCTTAAAAATAAATAAAAGATTGATGGATAATAAAAAGTAATAATGACCTATATGTCAGAAAGGATCAGGATAATCATTTTACGGATGAAGAAGAAACATAAATAGATTGAGAAGAGGTTCTACTAACGAACTCTGACAAAAAATATGGCCAGAACATGTATAATCCCTTCATTAATATTTTGAATCAATTTCAGTGAAATTCCTGGCTTTGAAGCAAAAGACATTCAATTATGCGAATCCCCAAAGAACAAATATGGCCGCCATATCGAATAACATTTGTAAACAATAATCAATACATGCCTTCATTGTATTTTATTATCTATTGTTCTGGACGTATTTGCAATCTAACTGTTTGAAATAGCTAGTTAAACATTTCTGAAAGCGTGTACTTGTGTATAATACATCACTCCTTATTTGCCTTCGTTTTTCGTTCAAATTTTCTAATATTATGCTCAAAAAAATATGGTAACACGATCCCTTGAATTGGATAACGATTTTCGGAAAACTTTCACATGTGAATCTTTAAATATATTTTTTCTTATGTTTTTTTGTTCCTCCCAGATGTATTTAAATCCCAAATCAGTCGTTTGAGACGACCACTTCATTCGGCTTTTTTCTGTTCATTTCGTGCTTAAAAGCCTTTAAGGAAGCCATAATTTCACATCCCTGTAAATTGTCCCATCGCCAAGAAACTTAGCTAACAATTGTCATGACAATGTACATGTCGGCCAAGAGATTAACGTGACTGGGCGCTTAAACTCTTTTCTCGACTGTCTTTGTTCCCATGACTTCTTACACATCTTTTTACCTTTTGTAAATAACTGTTATCAACACCTGACTACTTTGTGTTTTATTGTCAATTGTGCTAATTAAGTGTATTTGGAATCTTGTTGTTTGAAATAAGAGGTTTTTTAAGTTGAGTAAAATTTTTAAAAACGTGTACTTGTGTATAAGACGACCCACTTTTTGGCCTTTCTCGTAGTAAATACGGTATGTATTGTATATTTTGAAGATATGTAGGACAGATAATCGGTGATCCTAGACTTGAAGGGGTTGAGAGAGCGTAGTGGTCCAGGAAACATTTTTCGGTAGAGTCTATCCCACATAATAACACTTGAACTCTTTATCATGAAGGGAATTAGAATGTCGATTCCGTGAATGTGGCATGGAAGGGTCTAGCCGTAAAGGTCGATGAATAACTAAGAAATGGATCTTGTTTGAACATTTACGGGGGCAACCAGTGACATAGAGTGAGGTGCACCCGGTAGCTATTAGGATAGTTCCCAGGTCAGCCCACTGATGTATTCGGATCTTCTGATACTCTGGTGTGACGCTGATAGATAGATAGATAGATAGATAGATAGATAGATAGATAGATAGATATGTAGGAACGCAGGTATATAGACAGATAGATATGGCGAAACTAAGATAGATAGATATGTAGAAACGCAGATAATAGATAGATAGATAGATAGATAGATATGGAGAAACTGAAATAGACAGATATGGCGAAACTGAGATAGATAGATAGATAGGAACGCAGATATATACAGATAAATATGGCGAAACTAAGATAGATAGATATGTAAGAACGCAGATAGATAGATAGATAGATAGATAGATAGATAGATAGATAGGAACGCAGATATATACAGAAAAATATGGTGAAACTAAGATAGATAGATAGATAGATATGTAGGAACGCAGATAGATATAGCGAAACTGAGATAGATAGATAGATAGATAGTAATGCATATTTTCCGTTCATTTGAAATTAGAAGCATTCAAACAAACACATTAGGTGTTTGTACCTGGACATTATTTCGTTCTCCTACCTTGAGATGAATTACGACTCACCTTTCGGTCTTTATCTGTAGCGTGATAGTCTATATTTATTTGCAAATGTTTTACATGTAAGAAAACTGCTCACAGACGCCAGAGTGGAGAGATTGATATTATCTCACTAGTACAAAGGGAGGTGCCTCCTGGAAGAATGATCTCCAGCAAGCAGTCGCTTCGCATGAAAAGAAAGGATTTCTTTTTCTTAGGATTGTGTGGATGTGCGTGGTTTTATATTTACATATATGTAATCGGATACATTACGAAATCGCTGAATTTTGATATTTCACTATCTATCTATCTATCTATCTATCTATCTATCTATCTATGTGTATGAGAGAGAGAGAGAGAGAAAAAGAAAGAGAGAGATAGAGGGAGAGCGATAGCTATATACGACCTCTGATCAAAAAGTATCGGGAGTTTTGCTATAATAATGGAGCTAAAGTGAAGCTGCTTGGCAAAGACTGATCTTGAATTCTGTCGTGCATCCACAATAAATTATAACGTTCCAGCTGACTTCCGTTGTTTAGAGCCGGGCTTGGAAGGAAAGTGTGTAGAGTGTGGTCCTCTCAGCTCCTCAGTTTGTGCAGCAGTTTTTGATGAATAACAACATATCCCAGACCCTAAACCACTATATTCCCCAGATCTGTCACCTTGCGACTTCTTCCTCTTCAAAAATTAAATTCCACTTGAAAGGAACAAGATTTCAAGACATCCAAGGAAATCCAAGAGCATACAACGAGGCAGCTACTGGCTATCCCAAAAATGGAATTCCAGAAATGCTTCCATCAGTGGAAACGATGCTGGAAAAAGAATTTGGCTTCAGAAGAGGACTATTTCGAAGGAGATTAAAAGCGGAATTGATATGTATTGTAGTTTTCTTTTTATAGCACCAGTCCCGATTCTTTTTGATCGAACCTCGTACGTACGGGTCATTCAGAGTTAATATCTTTGTATTATTGTGTACACAAAAATGCGTATGCAATGGAACTTCGGTTCTGGAATTTAATTCCTTCCTGAAGACAGTTCGTAACCCGAAATATTCGTAAACCGAAATTATTTTTCCAATAGGAATCAATGTAAAGAAAAAAGTCACAGTGCCATAAAATTGGAAAAGAAAAACACGGCACAACACACGAATGTATACAGCATGGCGGTCGACACAGAAATTATTCCGTTCGGGTTAACTCGGTTCGGCTATGTTATTCGAGAACCGAAATTTTGTTCGATGACCGAGGAATTTTCATCTTGAATTGTCTGTTTCTGTCTTTGAGCATTCTCTTCAAGTACATGTGTATAGACGCACACAGACGACAACACGTGCATACACACACAACAAACAAACAAAAACATTCATATATATATATATATATATATATATATATATATATATATATATATATATATATAATATTTTTTGTTTAAAAATATGATTCCTTCGCTACATAAGAGTTCTCATGTTTCAAAAACGAGGGCCGATACCATCCAAATAATTATTAAAATTAAGTTGAATTGAGGTGTTTAGTCCCGTTTC